CAACGAGCAGCAGGAAAGTAAGTATGGCTTCCATAAATAAATGGAGACCTCCCATCCAAAAACACCCCTCACGTACCCAGTCCAAAGATTGCCGACCCAACGACAAGCTCCTTAGTGATGTCTTTTCGAGAAGGGACCGAGAAGGATTGGGCCAATAGCGGATGCCGCTGCTTGAGAACAAGGTGGAATGTGACTAAATTGAAGAGCACAGCTCCCCCCATCACGAACGCAAGGCTGGGATCCCACCCATGGATGGGGTCCAGAAACGCTTTCACCTTGGCTGGGTTGAGCCTGATGGGGGGAGGAAGGCGGGTGGGGGTGGGGGGTGGGGGAGGGCGTGTCAATGGTAACAGGGTTTGGAAGTGCTGAGAACATGGTGGAAAGTGACTGATTCAAATAGAGCCGCTCCCCCCATCACGAACGCCAGGCTGGGGTCCCAGCCAGCCGTGGACGGGATCCAGAAAGGCATGATCTTTCACCTTGGCCGGGCTGAGCCTGGTGGGGGGAGGCGGGCATGATTGCCTAGTCATGCAGATTCCCAAAAGTGATGCACACACATAAAGAAATTGCCTTGCCATGCAAGAAGAATGCTCACATGCCACTGAAGGTGAGGCCAAGGGCAAAGACTGCTCCCAAAAGCATGGAGGAAAGAAACAGCACGGGCAGTACAAGATAAATGCCTAGTAATGCAAAAGGGGTTCACACATGCCCTCTGATTCGACAAGTTGTCTCACTAGATGCTGGCCTACATGCACAACTCGGTTGCTCACATGCCACTGAAGGTGAGGCCGAGAGCAAAGACTGCTCCTGAGAGCATGGAGGAGAGGAGGAGCACGGGAGGCACTGCCCCTGCAGCTGCTGCCTTGGATGGCTGGAGGGCAAGAACAAAAAAATCGGGACACCAAGAAAGAAAAAGAGCAAATATATATATATATATATGTATATATATAAAGAAAAAAACAGAGTGAACTTCATAGCGCTTGCAGCAATATACTTTTTTTTCTTTGATACATCTCAAAAGAAGATGAAGAGAATTTCACAGCGGTTGCAGCAAGGAAAAGGTGGGATGTGAATGGAATGCAAGAGGGCAGATAACACAGCCCTCACAGGCATGAGCGCCTGAACTCGCCCTTTGCAAATGAAAGGTGGGGCGTGATGCTTTTGAGTCAACTAGAAGTCACCGCACAAGCTACATCCATCACAGGCATGAGCTCCTGACCTCGTCCTTCGCGACTGACGGCGTCGCAGGTGGCGAAATGAAGCTTCTGACGAGCAACAGCAGCAGCGAGGCCACACTCACTGGGGTGGAAGAAGGGGGGGAGAGGAACAGGAGCAAGGGAATGGAGGGAGAGGTGGGAGGCGGGCGGAGATGAAGTGATTAGGCTGGAATCAGTGCATCTCGAGCAGCAGCAGCAGCAGCAGCAGCAGCAGAGGGGCTCCACTCACTGGAGTAGGGCGGGAAGACGGAAGGCGAGAAAGGAAGTTGGGGGGATATTGTTTTATCGGTGCAGGGGGGAGCGGGATGGGGAGTGGGCTGGGATGGGATAACATGTGAGCTTAAATTTATTGACAAAAAAATGGGCAAAGTGAACAGGTAGTATGTGGTAGTGGTGATGCACTAGTCAGACGCAAAGGCATCTGGGGGATGAAACAGCACCTGAAAGAGCACCACACGAGAGGGCAGCACCTGGAAGGGCAGCACCTGAGAGGGCAGCACCTGAGAGGGCAGCACCTGAGAGGGCAGCACCTGAGAGGGCAGCACCTGAGAGGGCAGCACCTGAAAGGGCAGCACCTGAGAGGGCAGCCATCCAGGCGTTAGCAGGCGGGGCAACGGGGGCGGCCGAGGCGACAGGTGGCAGCAGTGCATTGGAGAGCATGGATGCGATGGCGCCTGTGGTCATGAAGGTGCAGACCGCCACGAGGCTGCGGATGGAGAGGCGCGGCAAGCCGCACACACCATGGCCCGACGTGCACCCGCTGCCGAGCTGCACAGAAAGAGAGGAGACGGCGGGAGCCGAGAGGAGAAGGCGGGAGCCGAGAGGAGAAGGCGGGAGCCGAGAGGAGAAGGCGGGAGCCGAGAGGAGAAGGCGGGAGCCGAGAGGCGAAGGCGGGAGCCGAGAGGAGAAGGCGGGAGCAGGTGGGAAAGAGAGAGCGATGAGGGGAGGGGCGGTCATGAAGGTGCAGACGGCAAGCCGCACACTCAGTGGACGGACGTTCACCCTCTTCCGAGCTGGGGAAAGGAGGAGTAGGGAGGAGCAGGGGGGAAAGAGAGGGAGAGCGATGAGGGAAGGGGTGGTCATGAAGGTGCAGACCGCCATCAGGCTGCGGATGGAGAGGCGCGGCAAACCACACACACCATGGCCCGACGTGCACCCGCTGCCGAGCTGGAGAAGGGAGGAGGGGAGGAAAGGGGAGGGTAGGGGAGGGTAGGGGAAGGTAGGGGAGGGTAGGAGAAGGTAGGGGAGGGTAGGGGAGGGTAGGGGAGGGTAGGGGAGGGTAGGGGAGGGTAAGGGAGGGTAGGGGAGGGTAGGGGAGGGTAGGGGAGGGTAAGGGAGGGTAGGGGAGGGTAGGGGAGGGTAGGGGAGGGTAAGGGAGGGTAGGGGAGGGGGTACCAAAGGTCATTGACGCGGCAAGCCACACACACCGTGCCCGGACGAGCACCCACTGCCTAGCTGCCGAACGGGGGATGAGAGGGGAGGAGAGACGAGCAACGAGCAACTGAGGCAGGTACATAAGACACCACGGCCTCGCAAACAACCACCCTCTCCCCCACCCGCCCACCCCCCAGCACACCCACGCACACCCCCGCACACCCACGCACACCCACGCACACCCACGCACGCACCTGAGAGCCGAATCCCGCAAGCACGCCAGCGACTGCGGGGAGAATGACGGATGCGATGGGGTCTTGCGCGGGCGCGGCGAAGGTGGGCGCGCCGAACGCGGAGGGCAGCGCGAGGTGCGCCGCGCAGCCAACAGCGAGCATGGACGCGAGAAACGCGACGCGGAAAGGCCAATCAGATGCGCCGGAAATAGCGCCTAGCGGAAGGGTCGGGACAGGGAAAGGGGTGGGGGGTGGTTGAGGTGTGAGGTCAGACCATGGCATGGCCGTTCTATCATGAATTGTGATGATACGCCGTGTGACTAAAACGAAAAATACCGTTGATTATTCCCGAGGCGCCCATGATGCGCCCCGACATCAGCAGGTGCAGCGTCGCCGCCACGCCAATAAGCACTCCTCCGAACAGCGAACTCCACGGCGTGAAAACCGGCGCGCCAGCCGCTGCCGCCATGGCTTGGAAGCTTGTAGGAACTGTTATGGCTGACGCGGTGGAAGCGCCGAAATTTGCACCGGAAGAGACGGAGGCAAAAGCGGCGGATGGAAGGGTTTGCGAGTTTTCAGGGGCAGAAGGGGCAACGGTAGGCTGCACGGAAGAACGAAACGCGGAAAAGCCAGCGGGAGTCGCGGCGCGGTTCCCGGAAGAAGAATCTGTGCGAATCGGCAAAAGAGCACTGCGAGTTGCTCTGTTGAGAGGTAAAAACGCGAGCCGTAACCCTAAAGCCGCCGGGCCTGAAACTAGGCTCGATAGCCGAGTGGCAAGGATCCGACGCTGGGTAGCAGCTGTTGCTGCTTTGTCCGATGGTGTGCTGAGCGCATGGGTCTGGGGGAGGGCCCGCATTGCCAGGTGATAGCGCCTAATAAGAAAACGCTCGTTGCACGACGAGTGTGTGGATGGATGGACGGAGGCGGACAGGCGGACAGGCGGACAGGCGGACTGGCGGACAGACGGGCTGGTGAACAGGGAGCGTTTTTTCAAGCTAAATTTCCGCTAGGAATCTGACGGAGATCGACGATTCCCTGCTTTTGATTTGCGTTGCATTGAATGCCAGTTGCTTGCGATGCAATGGTGCATGTTTGCGATGCGATTGTGCGATGTGTGATGGCGGCGGCAGTGGAGGTAGATATGGTCCGTTTTGAGCAGAGATTCTCGAGATTCCCGCGCTCCTACTCAAAGCTGATAAAGCCACATTTGCCCCCTTGTATGTGACTGTAGAGAGTACTTCTCTGTTTCCACCGAAGTTTCGTACGCGGAAAGAAAGCTCCTCTGTGAGTTCCCGTACTCGATAGCGGAATCTTGTTAGGTGTTCTCGTTATTTTTCATTTTGCCATAGACCTAAAAACGATTTAGCGTCCGGAAGTATTCATTTGGATTCTCACTAGCTCCAACTCAGAAACAGCACATCAATGAATAGTATGCCAGACCCCTCCGTCGCCATACTGCGAACCCGCAATAGCTTCTGTGTTTGTTTTGCTGAGACTGCTTCTGCCCGCATTCAGACACAACCTACTGCCTCTTCTGCCTCTCCTTTTCCCCCACACCTCCTCAGCACCACTTCCCCCTCCCCCTGCTCCTTCCAAACCGGTGGGTGACTAACACATGCTTATCATATCTATGCTTCTCCCCATCACCCACCCATTCTATGTCGACAGCTGCCAACCATGTTATTTCCCAACAGTCTCCTTGTCCCCACTCCCCCCTTCCATGGCAACAGCTGCCAGCCGTGTTACCTCCCAGCAGTAACTGTGTCAACAAGCTATCCGATCACTCATGCCATCCCCCTCTCTCCCAGCCTTGGTTCCCGGCTGAAACCGACAAACACAGTCATACTTCCTGCCACCCACCAGCCTCTTTACAAGGCGACACTTGAGTCGATTCAATACCACCTCCCCAACAGTCGCCTTCTCAGCAAGCTGTCCCATCCATCACTCATCTCAGCCGCTTCTCTCCCACTCTTGACTTTTGAGTCAACTCAACTCTTGAGTAGATTCAATATTACCTCCCAACAATCGGTTGCTCGAGAAGCTGCCCCATCACTCCTCTCAGCCGCCTCTCGCCCACTCTTGCTCCTCCCCTCAAACCGGGACATACATACGTACACACTGCCGCAAACCAGCCTCTTGATGAGGCGATTCTAGAGTCGACTCAACAGTCACCGTGCTACCTCCCAGAAGCAACCTTATCAGCTGTCCCATCAGTCACCTCATCCCCCTCTCCACCAGCCTTGGTCCCCAGCTGGAACCGGCACACACAGTCGTACATGCTGCCGCCCACCAGCCTCTTTGCCAGCCGCTCGTTCTTGATCATCGCCAGCTGGCAGAGATTGGTTGGAAGGAGGGTTGGAGGTGCGGGAATGAGGTGTGGGAAGGGGAATGAACATCAGTGAGAGGAGATAGGAGAGGCACATGGGAGAATGGGAGAGATGGGAAGTGTGCTGAGAAAAGTTAAACAAGAGCTTCAGATGTTGGGGAGAGCCTTACCCTAGACCTCGCATATGCAGATATGCAGCTTAATCCGGTACGCAAGGCGTGTGTCAACACACAAGTAATGGGATTACCTTGAGTGAGTCACAGGTGAAGCGAGTGTCGTAGTTGGTGTGCAGACTGCGACCCATGCCTTCCAGCACCACCTGCATGGTAGGGAGACATTATGGGATGTGAGGAAGCCTTCAGTCAAGAGTCGGCTCAAACGTCGAGAGTGTCGTAGTTGGTGTGCAGACTGCGCCCCATGCCCGCCAACACAACCTGCATGGGGGGGAGAGATGATGTGATGTGAGGAAGCAAAAGGATCGGCTCAAAAGTCAGGAGTGTCGTAGTTGGTGTGCAGACTGCGACCCATGCCCTCCGACACAACCTGCATGGCAAGGGGACAGGATGGGATGTGAGGAAGCTTTAACAAACGCATGGCAAAGAGCAGAGCATGCATGGCAAACTGACAGCACCCTTTCTGCACTCACAGCAGTGCACCTATTGCATAACAGCACTGCCCCACTTGCACTCACAAGCACCTCGGCTACACAAACTCACAAGGTCAGCCCCCTGGCAAGCCTGGGCCAGCTCCCACGGGACTTGTCTGAAGTCGATGCGCGGACGGTTTTGAGATGTCTCAAAACACTCACAAGCACTACCCCTCCCTCTCACACTCACAAGCACTACCCCTCCCTCTCACACTCACGAGATCAGCCCCCTGGCAGGCCTGGGCCAGCTCCCACGTGACTTGTCTGAAGTCAATGCATGGACTGCCCGACCCACTCGCCACCACCGACAGAAACACCTGCTGCTTCTTCCCACCCCCCTGCTGCTGCTGCTGCTGCTGCTGCTGCTGCTGCTGCCCCTGCTGCCCCTGCTCCTCCTGTTTCTGCTGTTCCTGTTGCTGATTTTGTACCAGTACTTGCTCTGACTGCACCGCTGCCTGCCTCCCCTCCCCTTGCTGCTCGTTCCCTCCTTGCCATTCTTGAGTCGACCACAAAGCAGCCTGTTCCATCACCCCTCCTGCCTCTGCTGCTGCCCTCAGCACAGGGCAGTACTGGTCATGGCAGGAAGAGAAGGGGGGTGTGAAGGGCGGAGGGTTCGAGGGGGGGGAGGGAGAGACAACTTGTGAGGCGGATTGGCGGCAGCTGCTGGTGGGAAAACATCAAGCCACAAACACCCTGACTAAACACTGGACTAAGGCTCAAGCTCTAACCTGAGGAGCCTCGGCTAGGCTACCACTCAAATAGAGGCGCTTCAACCATGGAATATGATTTGATCGTTGGAATTTGCTCTACAGATCAAGCTCTCACCTGCGCAGCCTCTGCCACCACTGCTGTCAGTTCATCTGCTGTGACGTCATTGATGGCTGGGAGCGAATTGGCCACCAGGACAACCTGCATAGGGGAGAGAGGGAGCAGTGTGGGTGGAAGAGTGGTGAGGGCACGGAGAGAGGAAGGGTCTTTAAGGGGGGTGGTGGATCGGGGAAAGAGGGCAGGCAACATCAGAGCGCATGTAACAAATCTAGCGAGTCTGCTGTGACGTTGTTGAGGACAAGGGCAGCACACCAAATTAAGAATCCACCTGTTGTGACATTGTTCCCTACAGCTCGTGTGCAGGCAGGCAGCATCAGCATCAGCATCAGCATCAGCATCAGCTCATGAGCAAGGAATTAGGAATCACAACCCCAGCACTCACATTGGTCCCGGCTCTGAGCATTTCCCGAGCCAGAGGCAGCATCCCCAGCACCACATCCGCCCCAGCATTGTCCACAAACAGCAGCGCCTTGCCGTATGGGCGGTGCTGCCAGCGCTGGTGGAAGGAGTCAAAGTCGTCCACCCGCCACGGGCGCTTCATCTTGTCACGGCTCATGCGGTAGATCTCCAGGATGGTGCCGCTGCGGTACAGCTTCACGCATTCTCGCGACCCCCAGTCGAATATGTTGGCGGCTAGCACACCCCCCATCACCGTCAGCAGCCGCTCTTCCTGATGGTGATGGAGTGGGAGAGGTTGGGAGAGGAGGGACGGGGTCGAAGGGTGGGAGAGGAAGATGGGCCATTAGTACCCAAATCAGCACCAAACATTCCCCCGAAGGAAATTATACCTCCAAAGGTTTCAAGTGGAAATGAATAGAGCGTGAGATTATCGCCAGCTCTCCCACGTGCTCATTCGCCACGATCACAGTGTTTAGCTTACAGGAGGAATGCTGTCGAGCTCGGCCAGAAGGTCAGGCAGCACTGACAGCGAGACGTCATTCTCCCTGTTGGTTACGGGGTATAAACAGAGGGAGGACAGAGAATACAAAGAGAACAGAGAGAACGGAGGTACACAGGGTTGGTTGGGGGGTCACGAATGGGAAATGGTGAAGCTGCGATAACATGTGATTGTACCAAGTCATAACTCCAAATAGTCAATGCGGCACTAGCTTGACCACCATGCGGCAGAGCAAGAAACATGGCGGTCCTCCTACTCTACTGCCTCTGCTTCAGAGAGTTTTTTAGGCGCCTCAAAGATTGACTTGGCGGTCCTCGTGCTCTACTACCCCTGCTTCACTTGACGCTAAACTTTAATCTCTCGACTCTGCTCCATCTCGCCTTTGCTCACCTCTTTCACCCATCCTCACCTCACTGAATCTCTTTTCCCTGCTCCTCACACCACTCACCGCTGCTTAACGGCGCGGTACGCGTCAAAGAAATGGAACTCTCTCAAACATTCCTCGCGCATCTCCAGCAGCGTTGCCAGCCCCAGCCGCCCGTAGGCTGCTGGCTCCTCGCGCAGCCTGCGAGTGGAGGGACAGCAGCAGGGGCAGGTGGGCAAGGCAGGTGATAGGGGGCACGTGGTAGGGGAAGGTGGTAGGGGCAGGTGGTTGGGGCAGGTGGTTGGGGCATCGAAGCATCTCCAGCAGCGTTGCCAAACCTAGTCGCCCATACGCTGCTGGCTCCTCGCGCAAGCAACCTGTTCATGAAGAGGCAGTAGACGGGGCAGGTGGCTGACTCACATGGTTGCGCGCAGGCAGGCAGGCGGTTGGGGCAGGTGGGACTAGGTGGTTGGGGCAGGTGGGACTAGGTGGTTGGGGCAGGTGGGACTAGGTGGTTGGGGCAGGTGGGACTAGGTGGTTGGGGCAGGTGGGACTAGGTGGTTGGGGCAGGTGAATCACGCAACCTCACCACACCACAGGCCGTGGTGCATGCATGATGCTGAATATTGGTGCAGCACTCGCGGGGAGTGGAAAGCAGGCACAACCCACTCACCTGGTGAGATGCGCCCTGAAGGCCAAGGCAAAGGCGTCTCCCCTCCGCTTGGCATCCTCAGTTGCCCCCTCGCTTCCCACTGCCTGGATGGAGAGGGAGGGCAGGAGAGAGGGACGGAGAGAGAGAAGGTGAGGAGGGGAGGAGACTCAAAGATCCCTTGTTGTGTTATCACTAACCCAACCCATTAACGCGACTGAAAAACGCCACACCGGGTGGCACCTCTCACCTTCTCCACGAGGTTGGGAATGTGATCCTGAAGAATCCCAAGCCAGTACCTGATGAGACCATGCATGTACACATGCAAGCAAGCATGGCACCATGCATGGCACCATGCATGCCACCATGCATGCCACCATGCATGCCACCATGCATGGCACCATGACATAACACCAGACCAGAACATTGGGCAAAGTAAATTACCAGCGTTACACCATGCCATGCCAAACCAACAGACCCATGGGATGGGAAGATGCGAGAGAGGTGAGGAGGATGAGGTGGATTGTAACTGAAATCCCAATCTCCCGACTAGGAAGGAAGAGATATGGTTGAAACTTGAACAAAATCACCATCTGACACTAACACTGCCCACGCACACTAACACTGCCCACGCACACTAACACTGCCCACGCACACTAACACTGCCCACGCACACTAACACTGCCCACGCACACTAACACTGCCCACGCACACTAACACTGCCCACGCACACTAACACTGCCCACGCACACTAACACTGCCCACGCACACTAACACTGCCCACGCACACTAACACTGCCCACGCACACTAACACTGCCCACGCACACTAACACTGCCCACGCACACTAACACTGCCCACGCACACTAACAATGCCCACGCACACTAACACTGCCCACGCACACTAACAATGCCCACGCACACTAACACTGCCCACGCACACTAACACTGCCCACGCACACTAACAATGCCCACGCACACTAACACTGCCCACGCACACTAACACTGCCCACGCACACTAACACTGCCCACGCACACTAACAATGCCCACGCACACTAACAATGCCCACGCACACTAACAATGCCCACGCACACTAACAATGCCCACGCACACTAACACTGCCCACGCACACTAACAATGCCCACGCACACTAACACTGCCCACGCACACTAACAATGCCCACGCACACTAACACTGCCCACGCACACTAACAATGCCCACGCACACTAACAATGCCCACGCACACTAACAATGCCCACGCACACTAACAATGCTCACGCACACTAACAATGCCCACGCACACTAACAATGCCCACGCACACTAACAATGCCCACGCACACTAACACTGCCCACGCACACTAACAATGCCCACGCACACTAACAATGCCCACGCACACTAACAATGCCCACGCACACTAACAATGCCCACGCACACTAACAATGCCCACGCACACTAACACTCCCCTTTTCAACCCTCACAAACCCATTTCCTCCCCAACCTTGTCCTGCCTCACTCCCGTGATAAAAGTGTAGTTTTGAGACGTCTCAAAACTACACTTTTATCACGTAACAAAATCAGCATCTGACACTAACAATGCCCACGCACACAAACACTCCCCTTTTCAACCCTCACAAACCCATTTCCTCCCCAACCTTGTCCTGCCTCACTCCCCCTCCCCCTCCCTGACCCACTAACCCCCTCCCGCACTCTCCCCCATGCGCCACGCATCCCCTCTTCCCCGTGCCCCACTCACTCCCTCTCATCGGAGTCTGCGAGATCCACAGTGTTGGGCTCGTAGCTGGTGACGGTGGCAGTGGGGGGAGGGGAGGAGGGGGGGGAGGGTGGGGGAGGAAAGGGAGGAGAGAAGAGAGAATTGGAAAGGGCTTTTAAGGTGCCTCAGAACTCATCAGGTTCTGCGAGGCCCACCGTGTTGGGCTCGTAGCTGGTGGCGGCAAGGGGAGGGGAGGGAAATAGAGAAACAAGGAGAGGGCTTTTGAGGTGCCTCAAACTCATCGGAGTCTGCGAGGTCCACTGTATTGGGCTCGTAGCTGATAGCCGTGGCAGAGGGAGAGGGTGGGGGGAGGGGAGGGAAGGGAGGGTGGAGAAGGAAAGGGGGGAGGGAAGAGAGAATTGGAAGGGCCTTTAAGGCGCCTCAGAACTCATCGGGGTCTGCGAGGTCCACTGTGTTGGGCTCGTAGCTGGTGGCGGTGGCAGGGGGGAAAGGGAGGAGGGAAACAAAGAGAAACAGGAGGGAGTAAAAAAAAATGGAAAGGGGAAGGAATCACAGAGGGAGGGAAGAGAAAGGCAGAGCTAAGGGAAACAGTGAAAAAAGGCAAGAGAAACGGGAAAGAGGGGCAAAGAGAAACGGGAAAGAGGGGCAAAGAGTGCACCAGCGAGCCCACAGCAAGCGAGCCCACAGCAAGCGAGCCCACAGCAAGCGAGCCCACAGCAAGCGAGCCCACAGCAAGCGAGCCCACAGCAAGAGAGCCCACAGCAAGCGAGCCCACAGCAAGCGAGCCCACAGCAAGCGAGCCCACAGCAAGCGAGCCCACAGCAAGCGAGCCCACAGCAAGAGAGCCCACAGCAAGCGAGCCCACAGCAAGCGAGCCCACAGCAAGCGAGCCCACAGCAAGCGAGCCCACAGCAAGCGAGCCCACAGCAAGCGAGCCCACAGCAAGCGAGCTCACAGCAAGCGAACCCACAGCAAGCGAGTCCACAGCAAGCGAGCCCACAGCAAGAGAGCCCACAGCAAGCGAGCCCATAGTACCTGACAGGGTCTGCCAGCAGTGGAAACACCTCCAGTGAGGGCACGAGGTGCAGCACTCCCACACTGAGCGCCGACTCGTCTGACCGCAGCTCCTTGCCTTGCTCCCTGGGCCGCGCAAAGCCCCCCAGCCCCGTGGTGGTTGGTGGCTTGCCTGTTGGTGTGGGTGCTGTGATGTCACTCCCCACCTGCATGCAATCACACATGTGAAAAAATCATCATTTCACTCCCGCCCGCACAGAATCTACATCTGCTGTTTACCAGCATTCTTCTTTGTAGGGGATGTAATCCCACCTCGAGTTTGAGAATTCTCAAAAGTGACATCGCCACCACCAAGTTCTTCTCGCCTGCACAACTTGTGCTTACCTCGCAGAAGCTGGGGTGAGGGCAGATTGCTGCCTCATTCATGTCTCACCTGTACGATCCTCACACCTGTACGATCCTCACACCTGTACGATCCTCCCACCTGCACGATCCTCCCACCTGCACGATCCTCCCACCTGCACAATCCTCCCACCTGCACGATCCTCCCACCTGCGCACTGCACGCCCCTTTCACCTGCACGCCCCTTTCACCTGCACGCCCCTTTCACCTGCACGCCCCTTTCATCTGCACGCCCCTTTCACCTGCACGCCCCTTTCACCTGCACGCCCCTTTCACCTGCACTTCTCAACCCATGAAACTTCTCAACCCATGAAACTTCTCAACCCATGAAACTTTCTCCTTCAACCCCCGAATGACGGGCCCTCGGATCTCCCCCTTGGAGAAGGGAGCGCCCATGGGGAAGGGCTCCACCAGCTGCCCCAATCTCTTCCCACATGCACGCCCCACCCCACCCACCTGGACCAACTTCTCGACCCAGGAGACCTTCTCCTTGAGCCCACGGATCACGGGCCCTCTGATCTCCCCCTTGGAGAAGGGAGCGCCCATGGGGAAGGGCTCCACCAGCTGCCCCAATCTCTTCCCACATGCACGCCCCACCCCACCCACCTGGACCAACTTCTCGACCCAGGAGACCTTCTCCTTGAGCCCACGGATCACGGGCCCTCTGATCTCCCCCTTGGAGAAGGGAGCGCCCATGGGGAAGGGCTCCACCAGCTGCCCCAATCTCTTCCCACATGCACGCCCCACCCCACCCACCTGGACCAACTTCTCGACCCAGGAGACCTTCTCCTTGAGCCCACGGATCACGGGCCCTCTGATCTCCCCCTTGGAGAAGGGAGCGCCCATGGGGAAGGGCTCCACCAGCTGCTTCATTTCCCACCTGCACCATGCACCATGCACCATGCAGCTCCCACCTCCCACCCCTGCACGCCCCACCCACCTGAACGAACTTCTCAACCCACGAAACTTTCTCCTTCAATCCCCTGATGACAGGGCCGCGGATCTCCCCCTTGGAGAAGGGAGCGCCCATGGGGAAGCGCTCCACCAGCTGCGACGGCGTGAGCGAGGAGAGCGACGCGATGCCGGGCGTGAGGGAGAGCCCGCGGCCCTCTGCATGGGCGTCCTCCTCGTGCGCTAGGAAGGCTCCCAGTGCGCCCAGGTAGCCCTCGTGGCGCAGAAACATGGCCTGCTTCTCGCCCTTGGACCTGACGGGAGAGGGGAAGTGGGGTGGCAGGGTTTGCGGTGATGGTGTGAGAGACAGAGGTGGAATCGTCAAAGGCCTCCGTTGACATGTAACTTGGCTTCTTTTCGTATACGTTCAGACCAGAACATGGTGTCCATGGTGTACGCATGCCCGCGGATGAAAAACCTAATGGCATGGCAATGATGTTCTAAGGCGCCTAAGGAGACATCAACCACCAGAATTTGACGGCAAAGGAGATGGTGTTGATGGTGTACGCATGCCCGCAGGTGAAAACAACCCCCAAAATTGAAGTGCTTGAGGTTGAATCGTTCTCAAGCACGAATGAAGAAGCTTGCATCACCTTGATTGCATGTATGAAAACTTGACCCACCAGAACTTGATGGCAAAGGAGATGACTTTTAAGAATTTTCTTTTGAGAATTACTTTTCAGAATTCTCACAAGCTTGGACCGCCTTGATTGCATGCATGTAAACTTGACTCACCAGAATTTGATGGCGAAGGAGATGGTGTCCATGGTGTAGGCGTGCCCGCGGATGAAGAACCTCCCGAAGAAGATCCGCTTGAGGTTGTAGCGCAGGGGTCACTCACGCACGGATGAAAAGGCTTGAACCACGTTGAGTGAGTAAACTCACCAGAACTTGATGGCGAAGGATATTGTATCCATGGTGTAGGCGTGCCCGCGGATGAAGAACCCGCCAAAGAAGATGCGCTTGAGGTTGTAGCGCAGGGCGTTGAGGTAGGCGATCTGCCCGATGTTGTACGACACCATGCGCAGCAGCGAGAGCGCTATGTCCTCTGGACGGTAGTCCGAGAGCTGCCTCTGTTCGCCCACCACTCGCCCGAAACTGGAGGCGATGGTAGAGGCCGATAGGCCGATCTGAGGGAACAACAAGGTGTGTGTGAGAGTGAACAACATGGGGGATGGGAGTGAGGGAGTGGGGGATGGGGGGCAATGGGGGGGCATTGGGCAGCGGGGAAGGTGGGTGGTGTGGTTGGAAGCCTCAAAACTGGAATCGATGATGTGGGTGGGATGGGAGGTGGGGATGGCGAGTGGGGTCGATGTCTTGATCACCTCCAGCATGTCAACAGCCGAGTTGTCATGATGGCAGGCGGGTGGTGCGAGTGCAACAATTCAAAGGCGATGCTACAATGGCAGGTGGCACAGGTCTACAATGGTTGACCTGCCTGCTCACCTTCTCATCGTTGCCTCAAATTCTCGTAGTTAAGCCCGCCATATATGTCCCCCGCCAGCATGTCCACAACCGAGTTGTCACGCTAGTGGGACAACACCGGAAAGGTGATGCTGTACTGGCAGGTGCCACAGATTGATCGTATGTGTGTATGAACGTGACCTGCTCACCTCCTCATACTCGCCTCACCTTCTCGTAGTTGAGCCCGCCGTAGATGTCCCCCACCAGCATGTCCACAGCCGAGTTGTCGCCCTCCTGACTCAGCTCCAGAATCTTGTCAAAACTGGTGCCCGTGGAATGAAGGGGGGATGGTGAGGGTTTAGGGTCCAGGGGAGAAAGGGGTTCAATGTTGCCCCCCCCCCCCCCCAATCTTGTCTAAAAAGACTGCCACTACACAACACTGAAGGGCAGACGGAAGAGGACTAAGCTGCAGGGGCATGCAATGAAGGTTGTGAAGGAGAGGTGTGGGGATTGGATGTGAGGGTGAATGTGAGGGGGGATGCGAGGGGCTGTGAGGTGCAAGGGTACAGAACGTGATAGCCCGGAACACCAAATGTGAGGTGCAAGGGTACAGAATGTGATAGCCCGGAACACCAAATGTGAGGTGCAAGGGTACAGAGGGTACAGAACGTGATAGCCCGGAACACCAAATGTGAGGTGCAAGGGTGCAGAAGGAAGAGAAGATGTGGAGTGGGCCTTGAACCTGGACAACATATGGCATGGCCTCTCAACTCTTGCCTCGTATAAGCAGACAGCTCGGCTTTTATTCGTCTCGACAACCTTATGTGCATGGGGGCTACATTTTTTAGTGGGTTCAGAAATAGACGGCCTGGCTTTTATTCGTCTCGACAACCTTATGTGCACGGGGACGGCAGAATGAGAGTAGATGTCAATGAGAAGTGAGCCCTGGACCTGAACCTGGCCTCTCTTGAGGCGCCTCAAAAGTGAGCCCTGACCTGAACCTGAACCTGGCCTCTCTCTCACCTCTTGCATCCCGTGAGTAGGCTGCCCAGACCCCAGAAGGTGCCTCCCCCCAGGTTCGTGCCGCTCACTCTCTCATACTGCTGTGGCCCGTCCACCTGTCATAGTGGACAGAGGGAGGTGAGCGGGCAGAAAGGGGACATGCGGGAGCAGGCAGTCAGTCACAAATTGCTCTAAGGCGTCTCAAAATCAGAGCAACGTACGTTGACAGAATTGCAACAGACAGTCGCAGACCTTGCTTTGGGATGTCTCAAAATCAGAATGCCGACGCACACTGACAGTGCCGACGCATCTTGAGAGGTAGGAGAACATGCTATCGTTGTGCATCTTGAAAACAGAGCACCGTACACTGATGAGACCGAAACAGCTGGTCACACACCTTGAGAATGCTGACACCCGAGCCAATGTTGACGAGGAGGTAGGGGAAGATGTTTCCGCTGTGCATCTCCACAAACTGCTTCTCACCCTCCAGGTGTGTGAACGCCTCGTCTCGGATGGACTGGGGTAGAAGGGCAATGGGCATGGGGGGGTAACAAAGAAGGGAAAATGGAAGGGTGAATGAAAGGAATTGATCCATTGCACGTGCATCTCCACAAACTGCTTCTCACCCTCCAGGTGTGTGAACGCCTCGTCTCGGATGGACTGGGGTAGAAGGGCAATGGGCATGGGGGGGTAACAAAGAAGGGAAAATGGAAGGGTGAATGAAAGGAATTGATCCATTGCACGTGCATCTCCACAAACTGCTTCTCACCCTCCAGGTGTGTGAACGCCTCGTCTCGAATGGACTGCGGTGGGGGAGGGGATGGGCATGGAGGGGGAAAGGGAGGGAGCATGATAGGCGAATAGAAGAGATTTAGCGTTTGTGTGCATGCACACTGCTTTTCTCCCTCCAGGTGCGTGATTGCCTCGTCACAGATGGAACAGAGAGGGGTAGGGAGAGGAAGGGGAGATGAGAAAGAGACATAGCATTTATGGTGTCTGCAATATATAGCTGCGCCAAGAGGGAGGAAATGTATTTACAGGAAACGGTGAGATCAAATGGCAGTGATCACACATGTTTGCAGGCACTGGTGTGAGCACAAATTAGTGCGCGCATATGACTTTTGAGTCGAATCAAAAGTCTGCACGCATATGACTTTTGAGTCGAATCAAAAGTCTGCACGCATATGACTTTTGAGTCGAATCAAAAGTCTGCACGCATATGCAGAGGAAGATACAAGTAGCACAGAAGCACTGGCGGGTTTGCACACGGCATTTTAGGGAGAGAGGGGAGGCCATACGCGCAGCATGTAAGGATAGGCGAGCAAACGCACAGCATGTAAGGGAGTGGGGGAGGGAAGCAGGGGAGAAGGGGGGAGATACGCACAGCATGTAAGGGAGAGGCGGAGGGAAGCAGGGGAGAAGCAGGGACGTACGCACAGCATGTAAGGGAGAGGCGGAGGGAAGCAGGGGAGAAGGGGGGAGATACGCACAGCATGTAAGGGCGGGCGGACGTACGCGCAGGAGGAAGTTGAGGCCGAGCACGAGGCAGCGCATCTCGTCCTCCTTGTCCAGCACTACACCCAGCTTCTCCTTGAACAGATCCGCGTACTTGAACGCCCCTGCCCCTGTAGCCTGCCCCCACACACACACGACACGAGGACAACGGTGCATGGCAGGGGTGGTGCATGGAGGTGAGTTTCGAGTCAACTCAAAGAGCATCTCATCCTCCTTGTCCAGCACCACGCCCAGCTTCTCCTTGAATAAATCCGCGTACTTGAACGCCCCGCCTCCTGTTGCCTGCACACACCCACACACACACACACACACACACACACACACACATGGGGGTGATGATGTATGGCAGGGGTGGTGCATGGCAGGGATATATAGTTAGATTATCACAAGCATGCAGTACAGATGAACAGGCATGGCGCATCGAAGCAATTAATAGTTGTGCTGAATAATTCGACAATGCGTGAAGCGCAGATGCACATTTGAAGAGGGTGGAGCTGAGGACGGCCATGTGCGTCTTCATTTTCCGGAGGTGATCAGCACTGGGTGTGCCTCAACAGGCGGCATCGCATGCATGTCTCAACACACCTTGATACGAGGCGTGCTGGCTCCATAGCCAGGTGACTTTTGAGTCGACTCAAAAGTCGCCTCAACGGGCGTAATTGCAAGCATTTCTGAACACACCTTGATACGAGGCGAGCTGGCTCCATAGCCCCATAGGCTCTCCTCGTCTCCTCCCATTCCTTGTCGGAAGAAGGAAACCAGAAAACGATGAGACGGGCAACAAAGCAATGATTGGAGAAGGCCAGGGTGAGGTGCACTACGGGGAAACGAGGAGGTAAGTTGAATGCGGTGGGTGTTGATTGAGGTGGGTGTTGATTGAGGTGGGTGTTGATTGCACTACGCATGCAGATCGTTGTTGTACTTGGTTGGACTTTTTTAGGCACCTACGAACGATACGAACAACAACGGTCAGGTTAAGAAAAACGTGGAGTTGTTGGGTGGGCGTAGAAACAAGGATGAGGGTGGAGGAGAGGAGAGGAGGGGGGGGACGAGGATGATGATAAACAATGATGGATGGGTAGGAACATGGAAGCTTACAAGGCCCGCAAGGCAGCAAATTGAGCTTCACCCAGATTCCTATATCTGCTTTCTCCCACCTTTTTGCTTACATGTGCGAAAACGCAGTCCACCCGCACCAAGCATCGTCAAATCGTATACGCCTCTCATCTCCCCTCCCACTCCCAACGTGAGCAATGATTCCACCGACCACCTTCTGTACCCTCCGTCCGCTATATTCCCCACAACACACCGCATCCTCTGTATTCCCACCTGCCCCCCACCGCGTCCCCCCCCCCACCCACCACATCCCCCCTCACCTAGAATATCAAAGCTGTGGAGCCTCTTCGACTTGATGAACTCGATGCACTCCACGATCCTCGACGTCTCAAACTTGACAAAGTGCAGCCGACCGCCGCCGCCCGACCGAAAAGACCCCCCTCCTCCAGAAAAGGAAGCTCGCCTGTCGACAGCCCTGGCAGCAGCGGCAGCACTGGCACTCGCAGCGAGATTGCCAGGGGCAGCAGCAGCAGCTGATGCCGCAGTGGCAGTAGCAAAGGCAGGGGGTGGAGCAGCGGCAGCAGCAGCAGTAGCACCGCAATTGGTCTGGGTGGTGCAATCTGTGCTTTCGTTGCCAGCTGCTGTGCTGGTAACAGCAGGAGCAGCAGCAGCAGTGGCAGAAGGGGAGACGAGAGAGGAGAAGGAGGCCCCGTGCTCCAAGTGGGGAGGGATGCGGGAGAAATACACGAGCTTGATCAGCGAGCCTGAGGGGAGTATCAAAGACGGGTACAGGAGAGAAAGATGAGACGAGATTATGATTCAAACTGGACATAAGAAACATGCAGTAGAGAGGAGAAATGCAGGTTGCCTTCTTGTAGTGCCTGCATATTTGGTTCTGGCGCCTGAGAATAATGATTCTTTGAATGGCTGGATAGAGATTTCTAAACAGGTTTGGACAATGATTCCTGAAAACTGCAGAAGACTGCTTCATAGAAAAGCGTTGACATTGGCGTAGAAATGCCTGGAAATTGCTTTACAAAGTTGCTTGGAGATTGGTTCATGAAAATGCTTCAGATTACGTGGAGTTTAATTCCTGGAAATGCCTGAGATTGATTCCTGAAGTTCCCTGGACAAAGGTTCCTGAGAATGGATCAATGGATGAAGATGGATGCCTTGACATTCATTCATGGAAACGTACTCCTGGAAAGTTTCGGGACAATCATCCCTGAAAATGCCTGGGCATTGATGCCTGGATATTCCAGGAAAATTCTCGGAATATGTTCCTGGAAAAGGCTGGATATCGTTTTCTATGTTTGCCTGAACATTGACTCTCGAAACGGGGTAAGACTTGACTCCTACAAATGGATGGATATTGGCAAACAAGGAAAATGTCTTTAGAGATGAGGAAAGCTAGAAAATGGCGGAGGGAAGGTAAGTGGTGCATACACATGTTAAGGGCGAACGGAACGCATCCTACAGTTGAGAGTGCTGTAACGACGTGGCTCAGAACAAGGATTGGAACTTGGAACATACCTCCGATGTCAAGTGCGAAGTGAAGCACATCCGACCGTTGATTGGGGAGCACAATGGTCGTCTGCGCGCCAGCAGCGTCCCGCGGAAACGTCTGAATCGCAGCTCCGCGCAAATCCAGATGCGGAGGCATCGCCTGCGCTCCGCCTAGTCCCGCCGCCACTGCTGGGCTTGTTCCCCTTCCCCCTGCGCTTCCCCCCGAGCCCATTCCGCCAGTGTCGCCCACTGCGCCCCAGGGGCCTCCCCCGACCGCGATTGCCGCCGGGATTTCGGTGGAGACCGATTCCGAACACCGCATGTTCGTGTGGTTACCGCTGCTGCTAACACCACTGCTGCTAGTCACGTTGTCCGTGTCGGGACCTGCGGTTTCGACCTCCGCATTTGGCGCTAACTCTGTGCTCCCAGCGTTGCGCGTGTCCATTCTTCTGTTATAACTATATTGAGACGCGAGCCACGATGCGCTTTTGTGAAAGTCGACTAGTAATGTGGTATCGCAGGATACAGAACTCTCCTGTGCTCTTCAGAGGCGTCGCGGGACTCTCGGAGGGGTTTGTTGAAAGTCACCAAGAACACGAGTTCGCGCAATAAATTTCTTTTGACAGCGGCTTTTAGCAACACCGTACCAAAGCCTGCACCAACGGCTATTGACGACGAGGTAGTAACGCCTATTGGTGACGACGTACAACGGCTATAAACGACCAACGGCTAGTAGCCACGACGTAAAATTAGCTACTGGACTATATTCTAGAATCCTATCCTGTTTTCCGTAAAGCTACTCTGCTGACCATGTGACCAGAAAGTCACGAGTCGAAGCTGCAAAGCTGTGGAAATTAGCTGTAATAGCCACAAAAGCTATGCTGCAAGCACCATTGAAAGTGCCGAGCCGAAGCTTGTTATTGGCTGCCTCTTTACAGCGCTCCATGTCGTCAACCTTACGAAAAAGTCCGAACATCCCAGCGCAAATCGGTCGTCGGAACCGATTTGCCGGTGTCGTCAGAGGGGGTCGTCGGAGCCGGGCCCGACGAGGCGGGCAACTGACGCGCGTGCGGGCCCGCCAGCCTGGCCCAGGGCCGGGCCGAGCGCACGACCGCCGCCCCGCAACCCCCCTGCGTGATTGAACAGCGCCCCACGTTACCGGGTGGGGGCGGCGAGCTGGCGAGCCCTCGCGCGAGGGAAAGTAACCCTCGCGCGAAGGCAGCCCTCCCGTGCCCGCTGCCCGCGACGTCCTAGTGACCCTCGCGACCTGCCCGGACGGGCAGGCGAGGGCCATGCGAAATTCGGGTGCTCCCCTCGGGAAGCTCGACGATTTCGCGACCCGTTGCGGTGACGCCGCGTGCTCGCACGCGGGTTCGCATCGGGTGCATGCGAAATTTCGAGCCCGGCGAAATCGGCTCGCTCGCATCGCGGCGCGGGGTTTTCGCGATCCGGGGCGAAGTCGACACGTGTCGGCCGAAACGAGGCACCGCGCGCATGCGAAATTGCGTCCCCTCGCCGAGCGAAGCCGGGGGACGCGAAGTCGACGTGCTGGCTCGGCGGCGAAGGAGCGCTTGTGCATGCAGCCCGCCAAACCCTGCCGAGCCAGGCACCACGAACCCTGGGCGATGCATCAACCGGCCTGTGGGGCACCGACTCCCTTTCCTTGGCGGAAGGAGGCATCGCTCCTCATTTTCGGCATCTCGTTTCACTTTCAACATTACTCCCACACTCTCGTCCCTTCTTAGCCTGCAGTCAATTCCCTTCAACGCAATGGAGGCCGACCCGAAAGCCGGCGAAGCGGCGCCGACCGTGCAGGACTTCCCTCTGTATCTCGACCTCGGTAGTGGACTCACTGCCAAGCTCGAGGAACACGACTACGCCGTCCTCGTAGACCATAGGCTAGAGTTCAACGCCCGTTGCTTGGGATTCGGCATCAAGTGAGTCTGCGTATGTGGATGTCGGCGTCGACATCTTCTTACATTGCTGGTCGACGCAGCGTCGGTGTTAGGGTTGTCCCACGTCGGAGGCGGCGCTACGAGTTCACGTCGACGCCGACAGTAGGTCGGTGTCGGCACAGGCATTAGGCACGCATCGGTCGGCTCAATTGATTACAACGTCGCGAGGGTGGTGCACCGTCGTACGATTGCCATCCCCGTCGGTCGGCGGTTCCTAAACCAACGTATCCATCGTCGTGTCGTGCACATACTCACTCACTCCTTATTCCCATGCATGCGTGCAGGCACGCATGGACTCGCGCGGCGCCGGCCAACATGCGATTGTGGTCGATAGGACTCGGCCGGCTTCGGGCGGCGATGGGTCGGGCGGACCACACATGCTTTGCGACGGTTTTCGACGCCGACGTAGCGGTTATCCCCTTGACTTCGAGGTGAGCTGGTTAGAAGTCGTCACGATGTGTGTTGCATCCTATGTCGGTGCTCTGTTCTGAACGACGTCGTCGTGCCTTGCCTGTGCAGCATCGCACCGCTTCCAGGAGCACATTGCAGCATCGTTGTCATCCTGTACCCCGGCGACCTGTTGAAGGGTGGGGGGGAGAAGATCAGGACCTCGATCCGGCACTTTGACCCGCAGACCGTGAAGCAGTGGCACCGCGACGAGGCGATCCGCGTGCTGAAGTGAGCTCGATAGTGTAGTCGACGACGCATGCAATTTCGCCGCGCAGCGTAAACCATGCTTACCGACAATCTGTGCCATGTTGCTTCAGGTTTTTCCGGGCGGCGGTCCTGGCCGAGCTTGGGTGCGATGGTAGGAAGTGGGAGTGGGCGAAGCCTTCCGATGAAGAGGTGGAGGACAGGCTCGCCGACTGCGATCAACCCGTTCGAGATGTGAGTTCCGAACGAATCACCGTCCTATGTCATCCTTGCGCGATGCGATTGCCGAACGCGGTGCTCATCCTTGCGCTCTGAACTGTTGTATGCAGAAAGTGCCCGACGCCGTCCGGGACGGGGACGCGGGCTCCGGCCTGCTAGCAATGAGCGCGTTGTGCTGGGTGGTGAGGAGGATGGATCTCCTGACCGGCGCCATCCGTCGCAGTGAGACCAGCATGGACAAGGTCAACGTTTCGGGGTTGAAGGGGCTGTGGAATGGGATGATAACATTCGTCAAGGAGCACGTCGCTCTCAAACGGTTGGGCCATGTCGGAGTTGCTGCCGACGCCTGTGACGACGACGGCGAGGAGGCCCCTTTGGCATCCACAGCAATAGGTGTCGCCTACACCGTCGATGATGCGCGTGGGACTTCGATCGGAGAGCCCGGAGGCGGCGTCGACAAGGAAGATGAGGAGGCGGGAAGGGCGGTGACTGGGACCGCGGAGAAGAACCAGGAGGATAACGAGGATCAGGAAGAGGACCATGAGGATCGTGAGGAGGAGGAGGAGGAGGAGGAGGAGGAGGAGGAGGAGGAGGAGGAGGAGGAGGAGGAGGAGGAGGAGGAGGAGGACGAGGAGGACGAGGACGAGGAGGAGGAGGAGGAGGAGGAGGAGGAGGAGGAGGAGGAGGAGGAGGAGGAGGAGGAGGAGGAGGAGGAGGAGGCGGAGGAGGCGGAGAAGCAGCAAGAGGGGGAGCAGGAGGAAGAGGTCGAGTGGGAGTTGGAGGAAATGGAGGTGGAGTACGTAGAGGGAGCGGCGGAAACGGCTGGGAGGTCGGCAGATGTTGTGAACAAGGGAGGGGAGGATGCCGACGAGGAGAAAGTCGGCGTGGAGGAGGCTCACGGGGGGGGTGAGAAGGTCGTGGTCGGCGATGTGGATGGCGACGCGAAGGAAGTTATCGACCTCGAGGTCGATGGAGAAGGGGATAACGCCGCGGCCACGAAGCCGACGGGCGTGGAAGCGCCTACCGAGACCACCGCAGGGAAGGCCGGGGGGGAGCGGTCTAGGGTGAAGAAGGCGGCGCGCGGTCATCCCGGTTCCTCCGCATCTGGTCGGCAGGCACCGCTGGACGTCGTCGAGCAGCTGCGACAGGAGAACAGGCGATTGACGGCAGAAAATGCCCGTATGGAGAAGGCGCTCGAAGATGAAAGGGGTCGGGTGGACAGGTTTGTGTTGGGGATGCGGGGACTCCTCGACAAGCTCCAGTCGTTGGCCGACCAGGTCGCCGTCTCCGACCATAATGCGGCGAAACGGCTGCTAGATGCGACGTCGGCCGTGTCGACAACCATCACGGACAACATCACCAACCACATGGACGAATCGTGGAAGGCGATGAAGTCCTTCGCCGAAAAGGCGTCGACGTGGTTGGCGGAAATCGACGGTCCGGAGGGAAGTATGGCAGTTGAACGCGCAAAAGCGGTCGCCGCCTTGGGCAACCACGTGGAAGCGGTGGTGGACGATGCGAAGCTGGGTTTGGAGGACTTCATCTCGAAGCACCTAGCCGCCGCGCAGGCCAACATTGCCGCCGCGGTAACTCGCACCATCGCCGTGCCGCCGCCGCCCCCGCCGCAGCCCACGCCAGCCTTCCCGGACGAGCTCATGAAGTCGTTCAAGGTGGACGTGTTGAAGGCGGTGACGGAGGCCACCCAGCAGTCGTTTGTTGCGTCCGGGTTAAAGCTCATGACCGAGGTGATCGGCAATGTGGCGGCTGGTCGGCGTGCGTCGTCGCCGTCGGCCAATGACGCCGATCCCGCGCAACGAAGGGAGGCCGACAAGCAGGGCCGGAAAAGGGCGGGCGGCGGAGATGATGCAGGGAGCGTGAAGCGGAGCAAGGGAGCCGATGGAGGCCGCGGCGTCGGCGCGGTGGGTCCAGGCGGCTCGCGGACTCGAGGTCAGAGCGTGGTCGACCAGCTCAAGAAGAACGGGGCCAAGGTGATAAGGTCGCACAGCAAGGGCGATGGAATCGGGAGTGCAGATGGGGGCCATGCCGACGAGGTTGCCGCACAAGACGGCGGGAAAGGCTTGAGCGACAAGGAGATCCCAACCGCTCAAACGGCGATAGATGGCGGCGCCAGAACCGTCAAGGGACCGTCTGTCGGGGTCGCGGGGACCACGTCGATTCCCCGAAAACCCCCTGCGGCTAGCAGCGCGCCGGTCGGCCCGTCAGCCGCCAACAACGATGGGCCGGCCCTTGTGGCTACTCCAGCTGCAGTGGGCCCGTCTGGCGCCAAGGGCGACGCGAAGGATGCTGCGGCTAACCGCGACGGTCCGTCCGCCTCTAAGGTGCCCGCAGCGGCGAACGCGCTCAGGGAAATGCTCCACCGCATGGAGGCCCATCGCAAGGACGTGCAGCAGCCTCCCTTGGTCGATGCCGCCCCCGCCGAAGCAGCACGCCGCACGGTCACTCCGCAGGTCGCCGCCACAACGCCCAGTGCCCCACATACCGCGCCTCTGGTCGCCGCCCATCCAACTGCGGACCCAAAGTCCGCATTGCTTCGCGCTCGGTTAGGCGCACGTAGTGCGGCAGCGCCAGCACAGACTCGGCCGGAAGCCGGCTCAAGCGCGACGCCGACGTCGGTAAACGAGGTGGCGGAGAAGGGCGTGAGGGCAGTGCTAGCCACCGGCGGCGGAGCCGTTGACCATGCACAGGCGTCGATAGGCCACAACGACGCCGACATCGCTGCCATCCAGAACCTGTTGGAATCGGTAAAACGCCCCGGGCACCCCGCTGCTCTGGCCATCTCGGACACGGCGCATGTGGAGCCCTTGGCGAATCCCCCCGCTGGTTCAGCGGAGCCAAAGACGACCACTGATGCTGTCGGCGATGGAGAGTCGAAACGGAAGGGGAAGGCCGACACAGTGAAAGGGAGGGCGAGCTCTCAGAGGAAAACACGGGCGATGTCGGCCGAGACAGGGAGGGATAAGGCGAAGGAGAAGTCGGTGGAGAAAGGGAAGGAGAAGGCGGAGGAGAAGGAGAAGGAGAAGGAGAAGGAGAAGGCGGCGGAGAAGGAGAAGGAGAAGGCGGCGGAGAAGGAGAAGGAGAAGGAGAAGAAGGAGAAGGAGGAGAAGGAGAAGGAGAAGGAGGAGAAGGAGAAGGAGAAGGAGAAGGAGAAAGGACGGAAGGGTCATGGCATCCGCCACGACAACTCGGGCGACGGTCTTGGGTGGGTGGGCGAGATTAAGGTGCTCGGCGCTAATCGATACATCGGCAAATCGCGCGAGAAGATGGAGCTGGCGTACTTGCACTCGATTGCGTACATCGTCTACGACGGCTACGTCAGCAAGGTCCTCATGGCCGAGCTCACCGGCTTGGAGGAAACCGAGTTGGAGAAGTGGAGGATGGTGTGGGAGGAGGTCAAGATTTTGCCGACAGGGATGTGGACGGTGATATGGGCACGGGGCGCGTACCTTCCAAAAACACGGTAAGTCGGATACCCTTTCGGCCGAGTGTTGATGACGATGTCGGAGTCACTAATGGTCGCTCGGTTTCATGTGATTGTGTGACAGGTTCGATGACATTCTCGGCCAGTATCGAGCGTACAAGAGCTCAGGCGATGCGCACCACGACGCGCTCTTGCCGGCGATCTGGTTCCCCGTCGATGCCGTCACAAAGGAAGGCCAGGAGAAGTCGGATGCTATGATGTCGGCCATGATAGGTCGCGTGTCCATGTGTGCTGCGTATGGGAAGGTCGCTGCGAGCGCGGCGAGGAAGGAGGGAGACACTGATGAGAAGACGGCGATTGCGGCACAGGCGTTATCGGCCTCCGCTTGCGCCGTGTGGTGCTTAGTCGAGAACGACGACGCCCAGGTGGTCGATGCTGTGGGCGAAGGGAAGGCGGCGGCGATGGTGGTCGGTGCGAGCGAGAAGACCGCCGGTGTCTTCAAGGAGGTCATGCAGGCGGTGCTGGAGGCCGAGATCGACCGGGAGCAACCCCTGGAGGAGGTTGCGCACAACTTCGCGCCGGCGCTGCAGAGTCTCGCTCTGCACCGGGTCTACCCGGGGGTGGATCATGAAGTCGAAGCCGACGTGATTGCTAAAGCGACAGTGGAGACATTGGCGTTCTGGGGAATGTGCCCCGTCGCCGGGCCGAAACTCGAAAAGATCGGCATCGCGGTGCCGTGTGACGCGCAGATGGAGTACGACATTGAACACAGGGGGAGGAAGGGGCAGAGAGGCAAGCAGGGCAAGGACAGCACGGGGAAGAAGGGGAAGAAGGGCAAGAAGGGCAAGGACAGCACGGCGGCGTAGTCAGCGCGCGGAGGGAGCGCGAGGTGGTCTGATTGCTAGTGTGTTTGTAACCTTTTTAGTGTTTGTAACTTTTTGTTTGTGTTTGCTTATGTGGTAGCGCATGTAACTTTTTGGTAGTGCATGACATGTAGAACCCTCGTCGGAGATGTCGACCTGATCGCTACCCTCTGAATTGCACACTCAAATGCTACTCGGGGATGAATTTTTGTCGGCGTATATGTCGGAGTCCGAAAATACGTCGGCGTCGTTGGATGTCTGTCGACATAGAGGGTTTGGCTGTCTGCAAGTATTTTCGGGGTGTTTGTTGGTCGGCGACCGACTGCAGTTACCATTGTTGGATCATCTATGTTCGCATGGGCATTGTTGTATGACCATCGTTTACCAACTTCATGAACAAAATAAGCATCATGGTTTGGTGCAATCGACCACAATTACAGCATCGCTCAAACTACGCGCACGCATATGCTCCGAAGGTACTCATGCCGCCTTCTTGCGCTTCGTCGGAGGACGCAGCACAGGTGCGGTCTGCCGCTCCATGTCCGCCACGGTCTTCGGCATCTGCTCCTCCCAGGTGTCTGGAAACAGGACGGCGACCCAAGCGGTCGGCTTCAAGTTGACCGCCACCAGCGCACAGGCGAGACGTAGCTTCGAGACCGACTTGGGGCCCAGCCCCTTGACGCCCATGCCGGGCTCCTTGGACTTCGTCGGTGCGGTTCCCGGTTTGAGCACCGTGAGGGCATCGCAGAAGGTCCCGATGCCCGGCGCCGCGATCTTGTTCAGGGCAGCCACGACGGCTTCGGTGTCGGAATCGCCGTCGCTCGAGCGAAGAAGGCGCACCGCATCCATGGCCTTCAGCATGCGGCGCACCTTCATGTCGTGTGCACCCTGCGTCGCGCCTTTGAGGAGGGTGTGGCGGTCGACGAATCCCGGCTCGGCGACCCTATCGCAAAGACGGCGGGTGTCATTGGCGGTGGCGGAGTTCCAGAGGCGCCAAGCGTCCCTCACGGTCTTTGACTCCCGCCAAGGTTGCACCACGTTGAGCTCGTAACGAGCCTCGTCGAGCGTCTGTGGGGGTTTCTCGTACCGTTTCTTGTTTCTGGCCCCCGGACTGGCCGAATCCGCGGAGCCACTCTCGCTCGGCGTCTGCTCGTTCCCCGACGGCGGTGTCTCCGGCATCCTCCGTGCTTCTGACACACGGAGTGCCTCGGTGAGACGGGTTATCTCGGCGGTCAGCGTCGCGATGGTATCGTCGCGCTTCTCGAGTTCATCCTGAAGGTCGATCTTCTCGACCGCGGCGCGCTCCCTCTCGTACTTTAGCGTCTCCTTGAGGGACATGTTATGGTATTCGGTGTCCAAGCGAACGGAGATTTCCTGCAGCACAAGGCGGAAAGGCGAAAATTGTTTAGAATACACCCGTAACAGATAGGGTCCCGACGACGCCGACTTTAGCGACGGTTTACCTCTGCCTGAATGAGGGTTGGGTCCCGGCGTTTGTTGATCGTTTCGGTGTCGATCTTCTCGACCCTTTTCGCCCAGTGCTGAAAGAGGGCAATCCGGCAGAGCTTCGAACCTTGGACGTACGGGTGCCAAGGGGTGCGGACGAGCTTCACCGCGAGGTCCTCGGCGACGATGCGGCGCATCATCTGGAGGGTACGCCAGAAGTGCACGGCGGCTTTGTCGGCGTCGCTCCCTTCTTTGGCAGCTCGTGTTTCCGCCTGCACATCGGCAGGTGATGTGGGTTAGTAAGGCGATGGGCAGCCAACGAAGCAATGGCGATGTAAGGTCATTGTCGGCGTCTATTAACATACATCGCGCAGCAGAGCATCCACGCCGGGGAAGATGTGCTCGGCGATGATGTCCAAGAGTTTGTCGGAGGGCTCGACCCTGCTGCGACCCAAGAAGTAGTCTTGCTTGCAACTCGAGTAGCCGGCCTTCTTCATCACCACCCCAACGGGAATGGCTGTGATGTAAGCACGCGTCATCTTGTCGAGTGCCCAGTGACCCAGCTCGGCGATCTCGGCGCGAGGCGTCCCTTCAATGGCTAGCTCCTGCGCACCTCCGGCCTAGCTCCTGCGCACCTCCGGCGCGAGCGGCGTGCACGTTCCACTTGCAGAACACCTTGTTGGTCGTCCACAACTGCCGCGTCCAACGTTGGTGGCTGGAGGCGGAGAGCTCTTTTTGCTCCTTGTCGTTGCGGGCGAAGAAGAGGTGCTTCTTGTACCAGCGCTCGCGTTCGGTGGTGTCAAGCGGCGGAAGGAAGTCGACGCCGTTGAACTGACCGATCTGGTCGAGGATGAAGTGCAACCATAGGCCGGTCTCGCCGACGGCGCACAACTCCGCTTCCAGGTGTCGCGCCACGTAGCTCTGCTGAAGACGGGCATCCTTGGAAGTCTTCGAGTTCCGCGCGGCGATCACCATGACGACCGGCTGGTTCTCCGGGTTTATCGACGAGGTGCTAGCCAGTCGGTACAAGAAGATGTCGGGGAGCGTGATCTCGCGGATGCTGGCGCCTCGCAGGAGAGTGTGGTGGGAGAGTAGCGTGAGCGCCTTGGTGAGCAGAAATCGCCACAGCGTCTGCGAAGGAGCGGTTGCCCGCGGGTTCCACGCCGACGCCGCCCATGTCGGCAGCACCTTCATCATGATCTGGCGGAACTGTTCGGCGGTGTATGTATCGCCTATGGTGCCGCGACGCCGGTCGGCACAATTCCTGCCCACAAAGCCACCGAGTATTTTGAGTTTGACGGCGTCGACTTCATAGTGACATGGACAGAGGTTGGCGGTGTCGACAAACTTACTTGACGTCCCTCTCGTTCTTGGTGCGGACCATGAACCGCACCTCCGATCTGACCACCGATATCTCCCGCATGATGCTCAGCTCCTTCTCCCGGTAGAGCGTCGCCTCCACTCTCGCCGCCATCTGGCATGCCTTTATGCGCCCGAGGAGCGTGTGCACCGTTGTACCTTGCACCGGCTGGGTTCGCGGGGCATTGTTCCCCTCCTCGATCGACTCGGCATCGAGCTGACACTCACGTATCATGAACTTCACATAGGCGCGCAGCCGGGTTTCGGTTACCCTAGGGCCGTGCAGCCAGATGTACTCTCGAGGGACCTCGGCCACTTTGTCCCAGTTCTTCTTCTTGTTGTCCCGGATGTAGTGGCCGATCTCGTCGACGTGCCTAAGCCTGTGCTCCTGGGGAAGCTTGTCGCGTATTTGCGTCAGCATTTTCGCCGCCCACCTCTTGTAATGGTAGATGAACGAGGTGTACAGCCTCAGCGTGCTATTCTTCTCCAAGGTTTGCAGGTGGCGTAGGGCGTCTATGACCAGCACGTCGATGCTTGCGTAAACCATGTCGTCCTCGACGAAGTCTGCTGCTCTCCACTGTTCGCGTGGCACCGCCATGTTCTGCTCGTCCTCGTCCTCGTCCTGTTCTAGCATGTCATCTATGTATTCAAGTTCCCGCCGGAGGCGTTCTTCCAAGGTGCGCGGATTCGTGCTACGCGGAGGACGCTCGTCGTATTCGTCGTCGCTCTCCTCCTCCTCCTCCTCCTCCTCATCATCAACCTGGTTTCCTGAGCCGCCCGGTACCGACGAAGGTCCAGGCTGCCCATCTTGCGTCGGTGTGGACTTACTAGCTGGCTTGGTAAACTCTCCTATCGGCGGTGGGGGAATGTCCTTGGTGAACTCCCCTTCTGGAATCTGTGTCAGTGCGTCAAGATCGTAGAGTAAATTGAGCGTCTCTTCGGGGGTAGAGGTGTCAATGTGGTCGGTTGGGGGACCAACGTCGGGCATGTCGACGTCTGCCATGAGGCCGCTCGTAGTTTGCTATACCGTCGACCGTGTTCGAGGTAAGGGATGGACCACCAGAGACGGTACTGAGTCGCTGGTGCGGTGTATACACCCGATGAGTTGCTCAGGCGTCTTCGTCGGATTCTCTCTCAAGTGCTTCTAACTCAGCGGCGAGCTCGAGGCGTTCCAGCTGTGCTTTGATGTCGGCGTCTACAGAGTCGGCAGGGGGTGGGATGGGTTGCGGCTGTTGGGCTCTAGGCCGTGCTCTGGACATGCGTCGCCGACCTAGTTAGTTGTGATCGGTTACCTAAACACGCTACCGGTGCCGACGTGATCGATTGGTCGGCGCACGAGTAACCCACACTCGCGAAGATAGCTAGGGAGAGGAAAATTCAAAGTGGAAGAGGGAGCAGGAAGGAACGCAGGAACGCACAATGGAATGAGCACCAGCGCAAGGTCACGGAGGGGTATGGTCGTGAGCGACTCCCGATTTTGCCGCGCTTCACGCAACCCCCTATGCTTGTGCCGCTATGCATGTGTTCTCGTGCGGCGGCGCAGTGTCCGACGTGCCACGAGCCATGCATGGCTAATGGGTCGCCGCGCTGCACTCACGGGGCGTAAGCCTGGGCACGTCCACGGTGATATGTGCGTGCGTTACGTGGCGTGGGCCCATCATTGGTGCCTCTACGCAGAAACGCCGACATGCCGACTTCCATTGCCTAAGGGCACGGAGTTATTGAAGAGCCGCGTGGCAAGCCCACCGTGAGCCCTCGTGGTCGACGCCGACTTTCGTGGTCCGGACAATCCCGTTGGATCCTTAGTCGACACCGACATGGCGAGCAGCTCGCGATGCCAGACAACTGTAACATTTTTTGACGGACAGATCTTCGCCGCGTGGATCGGCCACCGACAAATTTGGGCGCACAGTGGAGTTCCCGCGCTGAAATCGCGGCTCGACGTGTCGTGCTGTGAGTTTTTGTCCGCTGAGATGTCCTTCTCGGGTTTATCTCAGCGAAACCCGAGGTCGTCAGATTGTCGACAGTCCCGAGGTGTCAGGTCTGCCATTTCGCCCCAGTTTGCCACTCGGAGTCGTCGGGAGTTCGTCAATCCCGAGGAGGGCCGTTGTCCTATCGCAACCGCGAAATTGGGCGGCAGTTTTCGTCGGCTGAGGTATATCCTCCCGTACTTCTGATTGTGGACAATCTACACTTCACGCCCTGTGCAATGTATGTACGGGAGCTTTTCAGTATTCACATTCACCAGTCAGACTTGCCATGTTTTTTTTTTTTTTTTAAGGGTTTTTTTCCTTATTAAAGAGAACACTATACACTCGGGAGAAAACACTATACACACATAACTCACAACACACAAACCAAGGTGATTGTAACAACCCTAAAAATCACCAATGCTAGTGCAGAGACGAACTCCACGTCAGTTGGCCTATGGTCAATCACGACTCCTGCACACCCTCCTGCTTCAAGCCTCCATTTCACGTGGCCGAACACGCATGTTTACTCCGCCTGAGTCCGGGATAGATGTCAAAGAGTGATTTATGTCAGTAGGCCGGCATGAGGAAGAGGAAAACAAAGATGTCCGGCATAATTCTGATTGCCGCACCTGGAAAATTCATTGTAATGTCGTACGCGAATGGTAGTTCCTTTCCGTTGGGACTGATACCCTCGAATTCAAAGTGCTGAGGAGAGGGAAGCAAGGGAGGGGAGGAAAGGAGAGGGGAGGAAGGGAGAGGGGAGGAAGGGAGAGGGGAGTGGGGGAACAGGGGAGGAGAGGAGCAGGGGAGGAAGAGAGGTGGGGAAGAGAAGTGGGACAAAAGTTGCATCTCTTTAACCAAACAGCACGGCATACATATGGACGCAAGCATGCACAAGGACCCTTCACACATTAACATCACCCCCCCCCCCCCCCTCTATCCACACAAACCCCCCACCCCAACTCCCAGTCACACCTGCAGCATAGTGGTCACGACTTGAGTGACAGCGAGCACAGCAAAATTGGCGCTGACATGCACGCGAGGGCCCGCCTCAAATGGAACCTACAGACGCCCCTCCCCACCCCCTTCCCCCCTGTCCCCTCCCCTCACACGCACCTGCAGCAGAGTGGCGACGACTTGAGTGACGGCGAGCACAGCAAAGTTGGCGCCCAGGCACATGCGAGGGCCCGCCTCAAATGGAACCTACAGACGCCCCTCCCCACCCCCTTCCCCCCTGTCCCCTCCCCTCACACGCACCTGCAGCAGAGTGGCGACGACTTGAGTGACGGCGAGCACAGCAAAGTTGGCGCCCAGGCACATGCGAGGGCCCGCCTCAAATGGAACCTACAGACGCCCCTCCCCACCCCCTTCCCCCCTGTCCCCTCCCCTCACACGCACCTGCAGCAGAGTGGCGACGACTTGAGTGACGGCGAGCACAGCAAAGTTGGCGCCCAGGCACATGCGAGGGCCCGCCTCAAATGGAACCTACAGACGCCCCTCCCCACCCCCTTCCCCCCTGTCCCCTCCCCTCACACGCACCTGCAGCAGAGTGGCGACGACTTGAGTGACGGCGAGCACAGCAAAGTTGGCGCCCAGGCACATGCGAGGGCCCGCCTCAAATGGAACCTACAGACGCCCCTCCCCACCCCCTTCCCCCCTGTCCCCTCCCCTCACACGCACCTGCAGCAGAGTGGCGACGACTTGAGTGACGGCGAGCACAGCAAAGTTGGCGCCCAGGCACATGCGAGGGCCCGCCCCAAACGGCACCCATGCAAAGCGAGGCCGCGCTGCCTCCGCCTCGGGAGTGAAGCGCTCCTGTGGGTGGGAGAGAGCATGGGAATGAAGAGCATGGGAGTGGAATGGGTGTTGAAACGAGCACTAAGGGAGCAAGAGCTCTCTTGAAACAAAGTATGAAGGGAGTACAAAGAGAAACTCTTGAGCCACGGGGAATATGGTGGCAGAGGGAGTTTTTCCGATCTGCAATGAGTTTAGCCTGAAAAGTGGATAGAAAGCATGATGGTGTTTAGGAGCTTTACCGGTCGGAAAGAGAGGGGCTCAGGCCAGTAGACAGGATTGCGTCCCATGGCATAGGTAGACATGAATACGACCTGGGGGTGGGCAGGGAGAGGGGGAGATGGGGAGTGTAAGGGGTGGAAGTAGGCGAGGGGTATGGATGAGCCTTGAAGCTATGCATGCTGCCAGTAGACAGGATTGCGTCCCATGGCATAGGTGGACATGAATACGACGTGGGGGTGGGCAGGGAGATGAGGAGGGAGATAGACAGTGGGACGGGGAGCGGGTCGGGAACAGTTTAAACATGCCTTGACAGACTAAACGCCAGTAATGCTGTCGGCAAAAGGGGTGACCACTGGAGACGCATTCAGTTTGGGCCCTTTTTATTGGGACCGTTGGGTGGCGGGGATGCGAAGGTAATGGGAATGGTGGCTAGCGCGGAACAGGCCACTCACATCGCCACCAGGCAGTTCGTAGCCCCCGGGCAGGACGTCGGTGTGGGCCACCTCACGTGGGAAGAGGGGGATGGGCGGGTACATGCGGAGGGTCTCCTTGACGGCCATCTGTGTGTATGCCAGGCGCCCGCTGTTGACGTCCTGGTACGAGGGCATGCGGCCGTTGAGAGCCCTCAGCTCCTCGTGCACCTGTGGGGATTGAATGGAGGAAAAGGGATGGAGAGACGGGAAGAAGAGGGGCTGAGAGAAGGTACGAGGAGGAGCAGAGAGGAGGGGTTGAGAGGAGGAGAGAAATAAGGGGATGGGCGGGTACATGCGGAGGGTCTCCTTGACGGCCATCTGTGTGTGTGCCAGGCGCCCGCTGTTGACATCTTGGAACGAGGGCATGCGCCCGTTGAGAGCCCTCAGCTCCTCGTGCACCTGACAAGGGGAGCACGGAAAGGAGAAAAATGGAAGTGAATGGTTGGAAAGAAGGCAGGGGTGGAGAGAAGGGAAGAGAAGGGGTGGACAAAAAGGAGAAATCTCAGGGGGCTCATGCCGAGGGTCTGCTTTTGACTGCAACCGTTTACCATTGTTGAGAGGCCAGAGTAATGAGATACACCTCCAAAACAATGGCAGGTACCGTCCACCATTTTCCCGCCCTCCATAACAACCTCCACACATGCGTTCTCACCCACCTTGGCCTGCACCCAGCAGTGTGAGCCACCCACCTTGGCCTGCACCCAGCAGTGTGAGCCACCCACCTTGGCCTGCACCCAGCAGTGTGAGCCACCCACCTTGGCCTGCACCCAGCAGTGTGAGCCACCCACCTTGGCCTGCACCCAGCAGTGTGAGCCACCCACCTTGGCCTGCACCCAGCAGTGTGAGCCACCCACCTTGGCCTGCACCCAGCAGTGTGAGCCACCCACCTTGGCCTTGGCGTCAGGGTGCTGCGAGATGAGGAAGAGCGCCGCTGTGGTGGTGGTGGCGGTGGTCTCGTGCCCCGCGCCCATCACGTCGTGCACGTCCTCCCACAACTCCTCGTCCTGCAACGGCCGGCCTTGCTCGTCCTGGAAACACGCAGGACACGGAGGAGAAAAGAGGGAGTCGGGAGGCAGAGGGGGTGAGCGGGCAGTGCAAGGGATGGAGACGAGACGGGAAGCCAAGGTTGGTGGCGGTGGTCTCGTGCCCCGTGCCCATCACGTCGTGCACATCCTCCCACAACTCCTCGTCCTCCAGCGGCCGGCCTTGCTCGTCCTGTGGGGTCAGGCAGCGCAAGGTGGGCAGGCAGGAGGGTGAGGGATGTTGCATCTGAGAGACGAGACCAAGCGGTGGTCTCATGCCCCGCGCCCATCACGTCGTGGACATCCTCCCACAACTCCTCGACTTGGAGGGGGGGGCCCTGCTCGTCCTGGAAACACGCAGTGCAAGGGAGGAAGATATGGAAGGGACACCAAGGAGGGGGGAACGGGGGGACAAGGAGGGGAAAAACGGGGGATGGGAAATGGGGGGAGAAGAAGGGGTTTAGGGGAGGACCAAGGGAGACAAGCGTGGGGCCCAGTGGGTGACGAGGGGGCGACAAGAGAACGGCGGTTTCATGACCTGCCCCCATTACGAAATGCACTCCCCCGCCCACTCACAACTTCGTAATGGACGAGGGGGTCCCCATTAAGAAATGCACGTCCCTCCCACAACTTCTCCCACAACTCCTCCCCCGCCCACCCACAAGCACAAGCACACTCCCTCATCTACAAATATTATCGGCTCTTACCTTCCCTCGCACCACCTCACCCCAACTCCTCACCCAAGGGCCCAAGGGCCATTTACTGGCGCCTAGCAGCACTCCCCTTGCGTGCGCGTCACTGCTCACCGCGCTTTTCAGTCACACCCATCTTAACCCTCTCATCACCGTACAGTGATTTCTAGGCGCATAATACTCTCTTACCCTTCCCAACAATTTTCCATGCAACAAACATATTCTCCACATATAATCCGTGTGTGATGAGGCGATTTTTGAGTCGACTCAAAAGGCGCATGATACTCTCTTACCGTTCCCAACACCTGTACTCCCTTCCCCACCCCACCGCCGTACACTAATTTCCTTAACGAGCCTTGAAACCACCCTACCCTCTCCCACACCCCCGCACCTCAACGCCCGCACAAACCCCCTTCCTCACCCTCCCTGGCCCCACCCCACCACCACCCAACGGCCGTACCGTGGCGCCTAGCAGCACTCCCAGCAGATCATCCCCCGCATCCCCCGTCGCGCGCCACTTCTCTCGCCGCTCCTCAATCACGCCCATCATAACCCTCTCCATCGCCTTCATTGCCGCATCCAACCGCAGCATCCCCGGTTCCCCGAGCCTCCGCAGCAGCTGCAGCACCGGCAGTGGCGTGATGAACACGTTTGCCATCAACTGCTGCGACTCGTTCACCGCGCCTAGCAGCTCGTCAGCTCCGGCGTCCGCTTCGGTTGCCGAGCCAGCGGGGTCGGCTCGGATGCGGTCCAGCTGCCCGAAGTCCTTGGAGAAAGCGACGGCTCCGATGATGTCGAGCGTGAAGCGTTGGATCTGGACCGCTAGATTGCCGTCCAGGACGACGTTGGGAAGGGGTGAGCCGGCGTCTGTGGCGGCTTGATGGCGCCACATTGTGATTAGCCTATCCAACTGCTCGTGAGAAAGGGTGATAGTTGCGGGAAGTGGGTGATGTGGGATAGGATGGAGTGGGAGGAGAAGGAAAGGGTGAACCGGCGTCTGGGGCGGCTTCATGGTTGACTTTTCAGTCGACTCAAAAGCACACTGTAGTGATCTTCTAGCTTGCCATGGGAAGGGGTGGCGGGGAGTGGGGTAGGACGGGGATATGATGAGAGTGTCGGCAGAGGTTGAGTGGGTTCAGGATGAAGCGAGTGAGGGGAGAGTGGCGGCTTGGCGGGTAAGGAAAGGGCGGAGGGAGGATCAGGATAAACGAATGGGATGAGATCTGAGGGACGGGGCGGGCAAATGGTAATGAACGATGGATGGATGTGAGGAGATGACATGGAAACTAGTGACGTACTTAGACCGTCGCAGAACCTACCTGTGACTGGATGGTATCGGAGAAGGCGTCGAGCAGGTTGGGGCGCATGAAGGGCGGCTGGCACATGCGGCGGTGCGCGCGGTTGTACTCCCCTTGGGACCCCAGGATGCCCTTGCCGTGCGTCACGTACTCGTATACCGCCTGGTGGGGGGAGGCAGTCGGGAGAGAGTGTCCTGAGTCAAGAGACGCTCAGCCGTGCGTCACGTACTCGTACACCGCCTGGTGGGAGGGGAGGCAGTTGGGAGAGTAAAGGAGGAAGGCGGTGGAAGAAAATTCGGCAGAAAGGAGAGTCGCCTGGATGAGACAAGGAACGCCCTGCGTGCCTAGAATGGGAGGCGAGTGCGAACTCACAGGCAGGAATCTGCGCAAGCAGTTAGGATTTGGCGCTGCCGATGTGGTAGCTTCTCAGCCGACTCAAAATACGCCGAGCAAGGAAGCAAGAAGCAAGCAAATGAGATCGGAGTCGAGACCGGGCTTACAGGCAGGAATCTGCGCGAGTAGTTTCTGGAGTTGGAGCTGCAGAGGTGCGCGATGATCTCCGCGTCGTTCACGAACGTCCACGCGCTCACGCCGTGACCTTTGAGTTGACTACACAAAAACTACTCACAGGCAGGAATCTGCGCGAGTAGTTTTTCGAGTTGGAGCTGCAGATGTGCGCGATGATATCGGCGTCGTTCACGAACGTCCACGCGCTCACGCCGTTGGCGAACCGGCAGATCGGGCCGTACTTGCGCCCGTACAGGAGCGTCGCCTCCTCGATCCCGCGCAGCGCGATGGCGCTCAGATCGCGCACGTTTCCCAAAATGTCTAACGGGTGGGGGCCGGGGATGGGTACCAGGCGGTCCGCTTCGGTATCTTCGCGTGAGAGCGACTCGCCCTGGATTGGGGAACGTGCAGGGGGGAGAGAATGCCTTTTGAGTCGAATCATGCATGGTTCACGGGTGGGGACCCGGAATGGGTACCGGGTCCGGGAGGTCCGCTGCTCCGTCCTCGCCTGAGAGCGAATCGTCCTGAATGCGGAACGTGCGGGTTGAAGGGAATGGTTCACGGGTGGGGGGCCGGGATGGGTACCGCGGGGACCGCTGCGGCGCCTTCGCGTGAGAGAAACTCGCCTTGGATGCGGAAAACAAAAGTCTTTTGAGTAGAATCGAGGTTCACAAGTGAGGATCCCGTATGTTGTGGCTGAAACCGCTGCGCTGCCCTCGCCCCGAACTCCGTAAGCGGTGTGTAGGATAAGTTTGGAACAGACGCGAGAGACTTGGAGGGTGGCGTAAATGGGAATCGGGGTGTGAGAATGAAAGCAGAAGTGATCCAAAGAGCAAACGAGCAAACGAGCATGATAGTACTTACCATGGTTGCGACGGCAGCGGGTCGGCCAGTGAAGGGGCAGCGAGCGACTGTTGCTGGCGATACTGCTGACGCTGACGACATCATGGGCGGCGCCACGCTGGTGCTCCCGGAAGGTGCAGCAGCTGCTGACGTGGCAACTGAAGTGGTGCTGACGTGGCTTGCGTAGGTGGCGCTAGCGGACGTGCGAAGATCCGTGGTCGAGTTCGATGGAATGGAGAGAGTGCATACAAGTTTCGAAGAACGAGGTGGAAGAGAAACTCGAATCCCTGCGACGGACCGCGATTTGATTGGTTGCTGGATTAAGCCCGACGCTTGGGTGTAGAGGCTTGGTTGTACTACTGGCGTCATCTTTTACCGAATGTGTTCAAGAGTTTGAGTGATTATATCAAATAATGGCACCTGGTTGTTTGACGGACCAACGCTGCATATACGATGAGGCGGGCCAGAGCTCTTTTTGTCAACAGTGCAAGACAGTCGCAACCAGAGCTAAGAACTGAAACTGGAGTGCCATTATCCAGCAGCTTGAGTGCAAGATGGTTGTAGAGGCGAATTTTTCTTTACACTGGATCGAATGGCAGTTTGCACTGCATTTCAGATGCTTCTGTGGAGTGGGAGCTGGAGGGAGGCGGAACGCACAATACCGTTCCAGAAAAGCTTAGAAGCGTACCGTACCGTGCGGAGAAAAATGTAGGCGAATTTCCAAATTCAGCAATTGCGGCAGACGGAGTATCTGTGAAGGCGGGGCGCGCGAATGCCTCAGGAAAAACCAATCTCGAGGCAACTTGATGACCTCGATAGAATGACAGAGGATCCGCAGCCGGCAAATTAGGACGCTGGGTCACACGTGGAAAATCACCTTTTCCAGCAAACACCGAATCACAACAGAGGCTGGGAGTGACCACGAACATGTCATTGATATTTCTTTGCGAGGGACACTTCGACAATCCCCAACATTGTGGGTTGCTGTCCTCTAGCCTGACGTGGACGATCGAGCTGACCACTGGTGCTGGATTGATTTATCGCAAGCAGTACGAACAAAAGATTTTACGAGTCCACAGCAGCCTATCAGAATGATGTGATATGCCAGCACATGATGAGACTGGCACTCTGTGTTCTATTGGCGGGCGGGACACAAGGAATACAGAAATGATCATACAAGAATCATAACAACTATATAAGAACATGCACATGTTCAATACAACACCTTGGAGCTTTATCCATGCCAGGACAGTGCGACTTTGTCTGGAGTATCGAAAACAATGTCATCGATGTATACTAGGATACAGAACACAGTAGATCCAGAGTGAACAAAGAGAGACGGTTTAGCTAGGGACAGGAAAAGGCGAAGGTCAACAATAATTGTGCGCAGTGTGTTGCTGCCAAAGGTAGAAGCACCCCTAACGGGCAGAGAACGGGAAGGATCAGAGACCAACTAAGTAGCGTAGTCAAGGCGGCGGGTGGAGGCAAAGTCAGCAACAGTAGCGACAACAACAGAGCCAGGCGGAGGAGTTGTGGGGTCATTAACGAGAGAGGAAATGATGCAAGAGACTATAGGGCGAGGGGCATGGAGAAAGTTTGAGGACAGACGAGAAGAGACAGTAAGGGATGACATATAAAGCAATGGGAGAACAGAAGGTGGCGGAACACAAGGGGGGGGGGGGGGGGGGGGGGAATAGAGGAGCATGGAGTGATGGAAACACCGGGCGAGCACGAGAGAGACAACGGACCCAATCGTGGGATTCAGGAGGGGGGTTAGGAGACAGAAGAAGAGACAGCTGCAAAAGAGGAGGAAGACGAGCCAGATACAAGAATGGGGGCGGAAATGTGGGACAATCAGTCGACGGGAAAGAAATATTAAGAAAGTGAAGTGTCGTCACAACCGACGACAACGGTTGCTCCGACTGCTGCTACTGCTACGGCACCGAATGTCTCTCCTCTGCGGCACCCTCAGTACCAGTACATCATACTGTAGCACCCCCCAGAACCAGCAGTACAAGTGTCAGCACCCCCAACACTCCCAGAGCCAGCACCTATAGCGGCAGCACCCTCAGATCCACAGCGGTCGGCTACGGCGGCAAGGAAGGTTGCATTGGCAACGAACGCAATTGCGGCGACTACAAAGGCGGCGCCGGCCACGGCAAAGACTATGGCAACGGCTGCATCTAGGACGGGGAATGGGGGGGTGGCGGCAATGGAGCCGACATAGGAGGCGCACCCCTGCATACTGAGCCTTTCGAGTCAGAAGACTCCCTTACAGGCTCAACCGAGGGGAGGGGGATGGTATGCAACACACCAGAAGGGAGGGGAGCTAGTGGGATCGAGGGGGGGTGGGGGGGGAGAGGGGAAATGGACGTAAAAAAGAGGGGAGGGGAGCGAAGTCGGTGTGGAAAAAACTGAACGAGAATGAATGCATTAACAAGAAACTAAGTACAAGTACTAACCCTACAGCCTACAAAATATAAGCATTCTAACAGTTTGACACATCCCCATAGGCAAGGTGGGGGAGAATAGGAGGTCACAAGACCAGTCAAGAAAAAGCAAAGCAAGCCCAGGGTGGATCACAAAGTCACCACACACTCTGAGCACAAGCAAATGGCCACAAGGCCAGTCCACATGCAGAGTTATATAAAAGAGAACAAACAGTACAGTGATAATAACCTAGCAGTGGTAAGCATGCAAGTATATATATGTAGATCACAGTACAAGCAAAGTCACGCAGTGAATAAGTGAGACAAAACAGGCACAAAGCCTAAAACAGTACGGAAATGCTAATGATCACAAGGCCGAAGTGCCTTGGTGAATATATCAGCAGTGTTGGCCCAAGTGGCCACGTAAGCAAAACGAAGCTGACCACGCTGCTGCAACTCTCGAGCAAGGAAGAAACGCAGAGCGATGTGCTTCGTCCTATGCTCCAGTCTGTGCTCCTGAAACGAGGTAATCATGGCCTTGTTGTCTACGTACAGAACTGGAGGAGAACGAGGCGGCTCTCCCAAGTCGGTCAGCAAGTAGTTGGGCCAGCGTAACCCTGTGACGACCGCTACGTAGCAAAGTCGTCAACCCAAGACGCATCTGCGTGTCTAGTGAGGACAACTCAACCTCGTCCTCCAAGAACGAGCCCCGTGCCTATGTATTGCACAAGTAGAGCTACACCCTCTTAGCGGCCTCCCAGTGCTCTAGTCGGTGTCTCCCGGGCGCAACGTAGTTTGCCAGGATGTTAAGAGGGTATGCAAGGTCAGTTCGAGTGCAGGTCATCAGGTACATGAGGCAGCCCAGAAGCTCTAGATACGGGCCACTCGGCTCTACGGACTCGTCTGAAGGTGGAGCTGAGAGCGAGTGACCGGTAGGCAGAGGAGTGGACTGTGGCGAGGAGTACCGGAAGCCGAAGCACTGAAGGACCTGCTGCACCATGTGTGACTGAGTCAAGGTGATGGTGCGCCATGCTCTGTCCCGGGTGATCTGCAAGCCAAGATAGCTGCGCAGCTCACCTAGGTCAATGCAGGTGTGTCTCTTCTGCAGCTCCGACTTCACAAGGGCCAGTGCCTCAGTGTCAGCAGTGGCAAAAACCAAGTGGTCGACGTACACGAGGATGTAGAACGGCGGCAGCGAAGTGTCGGTGCGCAGAAACAGCGATGGGTCAGCAGTCGAAGGAGCAAACCCAAGAGCCACAAGTGTCGTCCTCAGTGTGCCGTGCCACTCGCGAGGCGCCTCGCGAAGACTGTAGACTGGCCGCCGGAGGCTCTACTGGGTACCTGCAGGAAACGAACCGCTGAAGCTAGGTGGGCGGCGCAGCCAGATCTCCTCGTGCAGGCTGCCCTGTAAGAAAGCTGTGCTGAAGTCAAGAGAGTGAAGCTCGTAGTCACGCTGAGCGGCGATGTGTAGCAGCACCCGAAGAGTGGTCATCTTCGGGGTAAGGGAGAAGGTATGGAAGAAGTCAACTCCCTATCGCTGACTAAAGCCTTGTGCAACGTAACGAGCCTTGAAGACAGGCGGAGAACCTGGCGGTCGCTTCACCCGGAAAATCCACATGCCATCGACTATGTTCGCCCCTGGAGGGGGAACTGCGTCGACGTAAGTGCCTGTGGACTTCCAGGATGCCATCTCTGCGTCCATGGCTGTCCACAAAGAGGAGAAGGGACCTGTAATCGCCTCTGCGTAAGAGCGCGGGGTCGGGATTGTCAGAATGTTATATTGCTTATTTGTATAGGCTATAGTGGGGTAGCCCATAAGAGGTACAACCTAATTAGGGTTAGTACTTGTACCCAACTCTTTCATAGTTCACTCATTCTCGTTCGTTCTTCTGACATGGTTTCAGAGCAGGTCCTTCCCTAGGACCGCACTTTTTTTTAGGGCCCACCACAAAGCTGCCCCACTGACTGCCCTGCAGCCCTTACTACTGACGCGCCGCCCTGCTAGCAGCGGCACCGCCCCTAGCAGCTCGTCGAGCAGCCCCTAGCAGCCCACGAGCCGCCCGAGCAGCACGCGCGCCGCCCACTTGCGGCCCGTCCGCCGCCCCTGCAGCCTGCGCGCCGCCTGTTTGCGGCCCGCCCGCCAACCTGCACCCCGCGCGCCGCTCGCTTGCGGCCCGCCCGTCGCCCCTGCAGCCCGCGAACCGCCCTTGCAGCCACGCGCACTGCCCCTGCAGCCCGCGAACCGCCTCTGCAGCCCCGCAAACCGCCCCTGCAGCCCCGCGCGCCGCCCCTGCAGCCCGCGCGTCGCCCGCTTGCGGCCCGCCCGCTGCCCCTAGGCCCGCTCGTCGCCTGCTTGCGGCCTGCCCGCCGCCCCTGCAGCCCGCGCGTCGCCCGCTTGCGGCCCGCACGCTGCCCCTAGGCCCGTTCGTCATCCGCTTGCAGCCCGCCCGCTGCCCCTAGGCCCGCTAGCCGCCCGTGCGACCCGCTCGCCGCTTGCTCGCGGCCTGCTAAGCCGCCCCTACCGCCCGCTCGCCGCCTGCTCACGGACCGCTCGCCGCCCTTTGCTGCCCTACTGGTTGCGCGCCTCCTTGCTTGCCCGCTATGACTTCTGTTCGTAGTAACGGTGGGAGTGGTGACGGCGGTGGTGGCAGCAGCGGGAGTGATGGCGGCCGTACT